TTTGATGGATGGAGGCATTCACATACAAGGAAATGAAGGAAATGATTAAATAGCCAAGTCATGTTTGTTTTGTTAAAAACATGATCAATTATATTTAAAATATAGAATAAAAAAATTGCAAGTCTGCATCAATATGTCAATCAAGCCATCAAGCTGTTATGTTTGTGCATGATTTAAAATTCTTTTGTGCTAATTTAAGGTCCCATTTTTCTTTGCTTATATATAATCTATTGGTTCTCTCTTTACTGGTCAAATGATGCCAAATTGGGTAATGGGGTATCAGCAAATATCAGAATCTGATTATAATATTCTTAATATTTTTATCACATAGTCTAAAAGCCCATTTGTAAATATCCGACTACTTTGTTACACAGTAAATCACGTGTTTTATAATTGTTTGTTTATTCTTGAATGGCCTAAATTCATAGAAAATTTAGGAATCCGGTTTGAATCGAATCGAGTCACGAATCAAATCGATTCGATTCGTCCGGAGCTTACAGATGATGATGAACCTTATTTTAAGAAAAGTCTGGGAAAAATACTAGTGAAAAAGTTGCTACACACATCCAGTATGTTTTAGACGAACATCATGATGGTGTAAGTAGATGAAAAATTTATCAAGAAAAAATAGATAGAATATTAGTAAGATTTGCCCTTAACCAATGTAATTTTATTGAAGGTATTTTAGTTTAATTTGGTTAATTTCTCATAAATTTACAGTATCCTGATGAAAATGATTCTGATATTGAACAGGAACCACAAAGTTCAAGTGTTAAGGATAATGAATAATTGAATAATTCATAATATTAATAATGATGTATATTGCTCTTGCACGTTAATTAATGATACTATTTATTGATAGCAAAGTATATCTTTGATAAAATAAAATTTTAACATGTATATATTTATGTCAAATAATGATGCGATCCTTGCATACAAGTAAATTTTTATAATTTAAATATGTGCATTATACATAAATTTTTTTTCATTTTATTACGTATACGTAAACCCTATTCTTACGAAGGGTATGTAAAGTAGATGCAAAAATATTACGTCAAATTGATAATAAAAATTTGTAAATAGATTCGTGAAATAAATTGACAAACATTGTATATAAAAGCTTGCAATTAATCAGTGAGGGTAGCTAAGAAGTTAATTCGAAATTCGACCATAAAACGTAAAACAATCGAGGTTGAAATATTTGCAGGTCCTGAAAAAATTTACCCAATATTCAAATATAACAAATTATTAAAATACCCTATTTTCAAATGTTACGTTTGAGGCCAATA